AGAGGGATGCTGGCTCCAGACCCTTCTCCCCACCCACTGCAGCCCTGAGAGGACACAACCCAGACTCCAGGTCCATCTCCACTGGCTCTGTACCCCCACAAGCTGACCGCCACAGCCCCAAGGGGACTTGGCCAAGACCCTAGGCCCTTCCTCACCAGCTCTGGACCCCTCCTGCTGCCTGACATGGCTCCAGGGTGACCCAGCCCACACCCCAGGCCCGTCTCTGCTGCCTCCGGACCACCCCGCCGACCACTGAGTGGGACCCCAAGCCCCTCCCCACCAGCTCCACACACCCTCCCACAGACTGCCACAACCCTGAGGGGTCCCAGCCCAGAGCCCAGGCCCCTCCCTGTCAGCTTTCGATCCCACCCCTGCTTATTGCCACAGCCCCAAGGGGACTGTGCCCAGACCCCAGGCCCCTCCCCACTGGTTCTGGCCCCCCCGGCCGACCAACGTCCTGAGGGGACCCAGCCTGGGCCCCAGGCCCCTCGCCACTGACTCCCGATGCCCTCTCACCGACTGCTGCAGCCCTGAGGGGTCCTAGCCTGAACCCTAGTCCCCTCCCCGCTGGCTCAGGACACCCCACCATCCGCTACCACAGAGTCATTCCAGCCTCTAGCCCAGTTCACACTGTATAAAAATGACCCATCTCCACTGCTTCCCCCCTGCTGGACTTGCACTGCTGCACCATAGCTGAGTGACCAGCCCTGCACACCCAGACAAGAGAGTGAGAACTATCATGCCAACAGACAAGCAAGCAACAAAACACACCTGGCCTACCCACCAGACATAACAAAACAAAACAAAAATGTAGGACAAAACAAGCAAGCCTACAATCGATAAATGAAGAAAATAATAACTGAATATCTTGGAGACAGCAGGCAATATCAAAATATTTTTAAAAAACAGGACAAGATGGCTACAGTAAACAGACAGATACAAGAACAAAATGTCAAAATAAATAAACAACTAAAAATCTTACAAAAACAGCAATTAAAAATCCAAAGCATAAACAACAAAATTTCAGAAATGGACAGTGCAACAGAAGATTTTAGGAGCAAATTTGAAACAATGGAAGACAGAATCAGTGAAATTTAATACAAATGCATGGATGCTACTTTGAGGAAAAATCAGAGAAAAAATGAAGAAAACCTAAGAACTGTGTGGGATACAATCAAGAGCAAAAATTTGTACATAATTGGAGTTCCAGCGCAAAGAGAAAATGGAAAAACAAGTTGAAGATTTGCTGACAGAAAACTTCCCAAATATCATGAAAGATGAAAAGCTGACCATCCAAGAAGCTCAACAAACCCCATATAGGATAGACCCCAAAAGAAAGTCATCAAGACATATCATCATCACGTTCACCACAACCAAAGATGAATCCCAAGAGCAGCTCGAGAAAAAAGAATAGTCACATATAAAGGAGAAACAATAAGACTAAGCTCTGATTACTCAGCAGAAACCATGCAGGCAAGAAGGCAATGGAATGATACATATATAAAACCTTGAAGGAAAAAAATTGCCAATTAAGAATAATATATCCTGCAAAACTCTTTCTCACATATGATGGCAAAATTGGGACATTTCCAGATAAACAGAAAGTAAGGGGATTTGTAAAACCCAAACCAAACTTACGAGAATTATTAAAGGAGGTCCTTCAATTAGAGAACCAACGACATCAGACAGCAACCTGAATCTAAGAGACAGGTAATGAATTCTCAAGGAGAAAACAAAACTAAAAGATTCAAAACAGGGAATTAGAGACATCGATCTGTAAATGAGGGAGACCTCAGAACAGTAAAAGGGGGAATACAAGGTATAGGTATAGAACTTTGAAATGGAGAGGAAGTCAAGGCAATATCAAGTAATGAAAGACTGGTTCAAACTTAGGAAGATAAGGATAAATTTCAAGGTAACTACAAAGAAAGTTAACAAACCTACTCATCAAACTACAGAAGAAAAACAAAGACTCAATAAACACAAAATCTACAATAATGAAAAAAATGAAAAGAAATTTCATAAACAAAAGGAACTCAGCACAGGTGAGTAAGAGGAAAAAAGAAAACATCAGCACCACCAAAAAAATACAAAATGACAGCCTGTCAATAATCCTACTGAATATAAGTGGATTAAATGCACCCATAAAGAGACAAATAGTGACAGAATGAATTTTTAAAAATGACCCATCTATATACTGTGTACAAGAGACACACCTTAGAAACAAAGACATAAATATATTGAAAATCAAAGGATGGAAAAAAATATATCAAGCAAACAGCAACCAAAAAAAGAGCAGGAGTAGCAGTACTAATCTCAGATAAAATAGACTTTAAAACAAAATCCACCATAAAAGAGAAGGAACAACATTATATAATTATTAAAGGACAATCCACCATGATGCCATAATGATAATAAATATCTATGCACCCAATCACAGGGCTCCAAAATGCATAAAACAAACTTTAACAGCTCTGAAAAGAGAAATTGACAGTTCCACAATAATATTAGGAGACTTCAACAAACTACTTTTGGTAAAGGACAGAACATCTAGAAAGAAACTCAGCAAACAATACAGAACATCTTAGCCCACAGTCAACCATCTTGACCTCATAGACATATACAGGACACTCCACCCCACAGCAGTACGCATTCTTTTCCAATGCACATGGAACATTCTCCAAAATAGACCACATCCTGGGCCACAAAGAAACCCTCAACAAAATTCAAAACATTGAGATAATACAAAGCATCTTCTCTGATCACAACGTGATAAAAGTGGAAATTAATAACAGGAAGAGCAAAGAAAAAAAATAGATACAAGGAAACTGAATAACACCTTCTTAAAAACCACTGGGTAATAGAAGAAATCAAAGATGGAATAAACTATTTTTAGGATCAAATGAAAATGAAGACACATCATACCAAATCCTTTGGGACAGAGCAAAGGCAGTGCTCAGAGGTAAATTTATAGCAATAGGCACACACATCAAAAAAGAAGAAAGGGACAAAATCAAAACATTAGCCCTACAACATGAACAAATGGAAAGAGAACAGAAAAAGAAGCCCACAGCCACTAAAAGAAAAGGAAATAATAAAGAACAGGGCAAATGTAAATGAAATGCAGAATAGAAAACAGTAGAAAGAATCAACAAAACCAGAAGTTGGTTCTTTGAAAGGATCAACAAAATTGACAAACCATTGACCAAATTGACAAAAGAGTAACAGGAGAGGAGGCAAGTAACCCAAATATAAAATGGGGGCCATTACAACAGACTCAACTGAAATAAAATGGATCATAACAGAGTACTATGAAAAGCTGTATTCCAATAAATTTGAAAATCATATTAGGTATACAAGGATGGTTCAACATTAGAAAATCAATCAACGTAATTCACCACCTGTTGTTGTGTGCTGTCAATTCGATTCGATTCCAACTCATAGCAACCCAATAGGACAGAGTTGAACTGCCCTGTAGGGTTTCCAAGGAGTAGCTGGTGGATTCAAACTGCTGACCTTTTGGTTAGCAGCCAGGCTTTTAACCACTTTGCCACCAGGGAGAGAAGAATCACATGATCATCTAAATGAATGCAGAAAATGCATTTGATAAAGTCTAATACCCATTTCTGATTTAAAAAAACTCTCAATAAGACAAATAGAAGGGAAATTTCTCAACATAATAAAGGGCATCTATACAAAACCAACAGCCAACATCATTCTTAATGGAGAGAGGCTGAAAACATTCCCCCTGAGAACAGGAACAAGACAAAGATGCCCTTTATCACCATTCCTAGTTAACATTGTGCTGGAAATCCTAGCTAGAGCAATAAGGCAAGGAAAAGAAATAAAGGACATGCAAATTGGTAAGGAAGAAGTAAAACTGTCCCTATTCACGATGATATGATATTATACATAGAGAACCCTAAAAACTCCAGAAGAAAACAAATGGAACTAATAGATTCAGCAGAGCAGCAGGATACAAGATAAACATATAAAAATCAGTTGGATTCCTATACACCAACAAAGAGAGCAACGAAAAGGAAATCAGAAAAGCAATGCCATTTATAATAGCCACTAAAAAAATAAAATACTTAGGAATAAATCTAACCAGGGATGTAAAAGACTTATACAAAGAAAACTACAAAATAGCAAGGTTGTGCCATCTGCATAATGCAGGTTGTTAATGATCCTTCCTCCAGCCCTGATGCTGCATTCTTCTTCATGTAGTCCAGATTCTTGGATTATTTGCTCAGCATACAGATTGAATAATTATGGTGAAAGGATACAACCCTGACGCACACCTTTCCTGATTATAAACCATGCAGTATCCCCTTTTTCTGTTCAGACGACTGCCTCTTGCTCTAAGTACAGGTTCCTCATGAGCACAGTTATGTGTTCTGGAATTCACATTCTTTGCAACGTTATCCACAATTTGTTATGATCCACACAGTCAAATGCCTTTGCATAATCAATAAAACACTAGTAAACATCTTTCTGATATTCTCTGCTTTCAGTCATCATCCATCTAACATCACCCATGATATCCCTTGTTCCTTGTCCTCTTCTGAATTTGGCTTGAATTTGTGGCAGTTCCCTGTCAATGTACTGCTGCAACCGTTTTTGAATGATCTTCAGCAAAATTTTACTTGTGTGTGATATTAATGATAAATGTTCAATAATTTCCACGTTCTGTTAGATCACCTTTCTTTGGAATGAGTACAAATATGGATCTCTTCCAGTCGGCTGGCCAGGTAGCTGTCTTCCAAATTTCTTGGCATAGACAAGCACTTCCAGTGCTGCATCCATTTGTTGAAACATCTCAACTGGTATTCTGTCAATTCCTGACCTTAAGGAAGTTAAAAAGATGATAAAAGAATACTGTAAACAAATGTGTGCCAATAAATTAGACAATTTAGATGGAATGTACAAATTCCTAGGAAGAAACACTCCATAAAATAAGAAATGTTCACCTAGTAATTGACATTATGATGCTTTCTCAGGTTGCTGCCTTCTCCCCTCAAGGATGCAGTGGAAGTGTCAACCTGGAGAAGATGCTATTCAATGCAGGAAGTGAACTCGGCCCTTAGTAAAATCCAGCTGGTGGGATATTCCCAGAAAATTGTAAGTGTTAACATCATCTTAAGTGATTCAGGAATGCTTTAAATTCATGTTGTTCTTTGGAAGGATCCTTTAGTTTCCCTTTTTTAAGCCATTTACTCCCTAAGGATCTTGTACTGGTACAAGGCGAAAAGATAGGGCTAGACTCAAAAAAATTTTTATTGTTGCTCTTCCCTAACCCTCACATTCCTTATCACCAGCTAGCATATGATGAGTCAGGAGAAAAGCATTGCATCCTATTCACATTAGAACAACAGATACTACTTCACAAATTTTTGACAAGTGAAATAGGAAGCAGAGAGCATAAGAACATCACGAAGCAATCTGACAAGTACGTAAATTGTAAGGGTTCCCATTTCTGTTAACTTGTGCCCAGAACCACTCAGCACAGAGACCAAGAACCTAACACCTAGCTTGAAATGAAAAAGGACAACCAAAGTATTTGTCTCTTTGGTCTGTTTGTTAACATATCATCTCTGTTTTAAATGAGTTAGTCCTGAGCACCTAGTGATGTGAATGGGCTTTAACGCTGAGTGTTGATGAGTAAAAACTATAGGATTGCTTTCTGTGTCTGCCACAAGGCCTTCATTGTCTTTCTGTTTGATTTACTTTTAATAATTTCTCATTCTAAACTGAGAAAGATGTTTTTGTTTTTTCCTGCAAACGTATCTGGTATGACTACATTACTTGAAGCTCATCACACCTTCTCACTGTGGTTCTTATTTTTTTCCCCCACAATATTTTTTTAGTTTACAAAAGGTATCTGTAAGTACAAATTGTAGGAAGAAAATGTTTAGCGCTGTTTAAACTCTGTTAAATTCGTTTTAAACTCTGCTCTACATAAATTTAATTCTTACCAGCATGAACAGTATTTTCCTAGATCTTCATATAGTCTTTTCATTAGTGCATTAATAATGAATAAAATAACCTGATTACATTAAACAGAGTTGACCATTTGAAACTATTTTTTAGGAGCTTTTTGGTGCAGTGCAGGTGACTCCTCTAAGCTCTGGCTATGCCCTTGGAAGCTCCAACTGGGTTATCCAGTCCCATTATGAGAAAGTGTCTTACGTCTCTGGATCCTCCTTGCTTACTACACACCCCCAGGTAATTTATAAATTCTCTTTTAACAGCTCAGCTCTTTGTTATTTAACCCAAATTCTGACTGTATCCAGAGTACCATCAGCTGTGTTTAAATCTTCCTAGTTTTTGTTTCTATAGATACTCTTTATGAAAATTAAATTATTCATGTTCCAACATTTGGGATTACAAGTTCCTCTGTTAAAAATCCTGTTGGCTTTATGGTCACCTCTAGGATCTAAGATTTTTCAACCCTTCCAAAGAGCACAGCCTAATGTGGAGCAAAGATAGCCACTCGTTTACTCAGCAAATATTTATTATTTAATATTTACTAAGAGCCTTCTGGAGCCCTGGTGATGTAGTGGTTAAGAGATCAGCTGCTAACCAGAAGGTCAGCAGTTCAAATCCACCAGCCACTCCTTGGAAACCTTACGGGGCAGTTCTGCTCTGTCCTATAGTGTTGCTATGAGTTGGAATCGACTCAGCAGCAACAGGTACGGTAAGAGCCTACTATATGTCTAGGTGTGAGAGATTCAGTGGTGGCCAGTAGGCAAGGTCCCTGCTCATTAATGTATGGGGAGAGGGTTGTTTGTGGAAAATAAACAAATAAATGAGCAAGGTAATTTCAGATTATGATACAAGTACTGAAAAACAGCAAAGCAGGGTTATTTATAGAGTGATGGAGACTAGTTTGTGGATGATCAGGGGAGGCCTCTGCAGAGATTTCGTTTGGACTGAGACCTGAAGAACTGAATTATGTGAAGATAATGAGGGTAAAGCATTACAGAGAAAGGCAGATGAATGACCCCTCAAACAAGAACAAGCTTGTCATGTGTGAAGAGCAGAGAAGGCCATTGTGATTGCAACATACTATAGTCATACAGTCAGTAGTCATGTCCAAGAGATTAGCAAATATATAGGACTTTGTAGACCATGATTAGGAACTTGGATTTTATTTTAATATGTAAAGGGAAGCTACTGGAAAGTTTTGTCATTCGTTAAAGAAGCTAAGCACATAAACACTGTTATGAATGTAATAGTTCTTTTCTTTAGGGTTTGTAAAAAACTTATTGTTCATTGGTCCTTTCCATGTTTGTATGGAAACATAGAGGGGACAGCTGAGGTTAGATAATTAGGTGATGGATGGATATATAGATAACTTGGGCCCATATCCCATTTTAATATGGGAAAAAGAATGACTGCTGTAAGTCTAGAACAATAGAATGCTTCTGAGCTGCCTTTCTGCAGTGTTTTTTCAAACCTTTTATAATCAGGTATCATCTCAGGGGTTGGAAAGGACAAGCTACTGTTTTTTCCCTTAGCTAGTAGAATTGTGGGCCCTTCCCGCTTATTAAAATCAAAAGCCCATCAGTTTCATCTTAATCTGCTTCATTGAATCAGACTTTTTTATTGGCAGCTTCTATCATTCCTGATATATTCTTCCATAAAAGACATAAAAATTACTTGACTGCCAACTTTTCTAATTTGTCCTTAATGGTACTATTGATGTAATTTCCAGTAAATTATTCTTACAAGGTTCATAAATTTAAAGGGAAAATAAGGTCTCGAAAGTAATGAGCAGCATACCTGTGTAATTAATTTCTAGCTGGCAACCTGTGTTTTATGTAAAAAAGAAAAAAAATAGATTATTCTTTACCCAAACAATTGAATTCTATATTTAATTAGCAGAGATAAGAAAACTAGTCCGTGGGCCAAATTTGGCCCGCCACCTGTTTTTGTGAATAACATTTTGTTAGACTACAGCCACACCCATTTGTTTATAAATTGTTTATATCTGCTTTCATGCTACAATGGCAGAGTAGCTCTTTACAGAAAAAATTTGCTGACCCTTGGCCAACTTAAATGTAACCCTCACTAGCAAGGAAGAATATAGCAGGCTGCGGTAGTGATCTAATAAGCATAGGGGAATGAGGCTTTGATTTAAGGTTGAGGCAGTAAAAGTGGAGGGACAAGTTTAAGAAAACATTGGAACATTTTAAATTCAAACATTTATTGAATGCCCACTGTCTTCAGGGAAGGAAAAATGCAAGTTGAAGATTTCATGCCTGAGTGACATTGAGATAGTGATTATTACACTAATAAAGTTGACAAAGATAAGTTGACAGGGGGGTCATTTGTTTCAGAAGAAGGGGGTCGGTAGGATGATATGATGAGTTTGAGAGAAGATGAGACATTTAATAAAACAGTTGTTGTTGAGTCAGATCTGACTCATCACGTTACCTGGTCCTGTGCCATCTTCATGATCATTGGTATGTTTGAGTCCATTGTTTTGGCTGTTGTGTCAAACCATCCCATTGAGGGTTTCCCTCACTTCACTGACCATATTTTAGCAAACATAATGTCCTTTTCTAGCAATTGGTCTTTCCTGATAACTTGTCCAAAGTAACTGAGCTGAAATCTACCTGTATTCCTAACCTTCGGTTTTATGGGAGACTGACCAATCTTCCAAGACACAGATAATCTCTATCTTGTATATTTTTGACATTAGAAAAGGAGGAAAGGTGCCCAGATCATCTTATGAGACTAATACCTTGAAGATAATACAAGGAAAAAATTCAAGGGCCCATTTTTCATTTCTCAGTACCGGTTATAAACTTAAATAAAAGACTAACTGATCCCAGGAGAGTATTTTTTAAAGAATAAATTGTGATCCAGTAAGATTTATCTCAGAAATATAGGATGGTTAAATATGACAAAAGCTAACATAGCAATTCACTACATTAATGGTCAAAAAGAAAGATATCACATATTATCTCACAGACTCAGCAAAAGCATTTGATAAGATGTAACACCTATATCTGATTTTTTTTAAACCCAAAAAATTAGGAATAGAGGGGAACCTTCATAACCTGATAAAAAGCAATGAGTTTCTGAGGAGTCTATAAACTCATGGTCCTTAGAAAATAAATGCAAAATTTTGTGTAGGGATGTGTGTGTGTCCCTGGGTGGTGCACATGGTTAATGCTCTTCGCTGGTACCCGAAAGTTGGCATTTCAAGTTTACCCAGAAAGGCCTGGTGATCTACTTCTGAAAAAATCAGCCATTGAAAACCCAGTGGAGCACAGTTCTACTCTTACACACCTGAGGTTGTCGTAAGTCTGAGTCAACTCGATGGCAACTGATTTTTATTAACTGGATGTGTGTGTATTTATACATATTTATATGTGTGACTAATTCTCCTTAGATTCTCAAGTAGGCTTTTGGGTCGAGGACTGATGCATTTTTGCTAAAAGAAAGTCTTCCAGCACTGGTGTATTTTCTCTACCTCCCCTTCTTGATGCTTATCACTTGGAGTGCAGGAGGATGCTCATGTTGCTTTATTTTCCTGAGGTCTTAAAAACCATGGCAGTATTAAATATCAATTCTTCTCTTTAAATTTTTTCCCCACCCTTCCACCCCCAAATTTCCCTAAATGTTTTGTGGTTGCTTGTATAATGCTTTGCTCTGATCTGGGTGCTCTATAGTAAAAGTTAAACTTAATATATTGGGGGAGGGCCTTGGGGGAAGCTGTGCTACAAAATGGTTCATGATCAGTTTGGAGAATTGGGCCTACTAAGTAGGTACCCATGAAGCAAGGCAGGAGAAGCCGGGCAACTTTCTGGACTCTTGCCTGTTTCTTTTCTTTCTCTACACTTGCTGTTTTGTCTTAACTGGCTATATAGCTTCTCTCAGAAATGTCCTTCTCTCAAACATATTGTATGCTACTGATTTGTTCATTCGTTTATTTATTCCCTCAATTAGTCAGTGATATTTACTGAACTCCTGCTTTGAATAAGGGGGCTTGCTAGACTGTTAAGGAAACATGGACGGGTGGCTGTTACATTTACGGAGGTTATAATAGGGAGAGAAGTCATGTATATACAAACCTTTTCTACAAATTGCAGTTGATCAGGACCTTAAGATTAGAAATCCTTGAAGTGCTTGCTGCAGGATTCAAAAGGAGGGTGGTCAGGGTCACATCCAGCTAGGGGTTAGGGAAGACCTCATAGAGGAGTGGGGTTTGAATTGATCTTTGAAGGCTGGGTATAATGTGCTTCATAAGTCCAAATTTATTTCTTCCTTTTTCTCATCAAAGAATTACGGGTCATTTAATCATTAACTTTTTCACTGATCCTTATTTTCTGCCTTTAAGCAAATTAGAGGGTTTTTATTGTAGAAAAAGGCCTTCTGATGACTCTGCCTCTTCTCCTGACTACTGTGTTTTCTTTCTTTTTCATAACCGTGTTGAGATTCCTTCTGTACACCTTGTTCAACTCATTCTTGTATACTTCTGCTTTCTTCATATTTTCTCTCTCATCGGTCTGATTTCACATTCTAAGAGAGAAATCACCATCTCTCTTTGAACAATCATCAGATTCTGGCCAAACTTAACTTTTAACTATTAATAGTTAACTTCTAACTACTTTTCAGGGCATCTTACAGCTGTGTTTGACACTGTTGATCAATCTCTTGTTAAAATTCTTTTTAGTCTAGGTTTCTCTAGCAATATTTTTTTGGTTTCTCCTTATTACATTATTTGATGTTTTGCCATATTGTAGGATAAACATGCCTTAAAGTTATCTTTACCAGCCTCATCATTTTACAGGTAGGGAAACTCTTTACTGTATTATGTACTTCTCTTTTATTTGTTCCTCTTCCCACTTATCATTTACTGTCCCTTAAACCTTAGTGCATGACCTGCCACTCTTTTCTCACTCTGTAAAAACTAGTATTTCTATTAACTACTATTGTAAAGATACCCAGCAAACCTCCCTACTACACTGTTTCATCTTTTATTCTCAGAATAAGTCCATTTAGCTACCCCCAGAACACTTGTAACTTGCCACCACTGGGCTTCTTATTGCAATCCTCCTTAGTCTTTTAAATCATTGCATCTTCCAAATTTCCCTTTAACTACATCTGTGACTTCAAATTTTTGAATCATCTTTTAGTCTTGCTTTATCCATTGTCCTGTATATGCGTTTCATTCTCAAATGTCTATTGATGGCACAGTGGTTAAGCACTCA